CAACAGCAGTGACAACAGCAGCGACAACTCAACGCAGATTCAAAAAAACGCTGCAGCAGCAACAGCACCTGCTGCGCATATCTAGCGGCAGCAGCAGCAGCAGCAGCAGCAGCAGCAGCAGCAGCAGCAGCAACAGCAACAACAGCAGCAGCAACAGCATCATCAACAGCAGAAGCAGCAGCAACAGCAACAGCAGCAGCAGCAGCAATGCCGCTGCATCTATCAGACTGCCTGCGGCCGCTGCACCGCCAGCGTCGCCAGCAGCAGCAACAGCAGCAACAGCAGCAGCAGCAGCAGCAGCAGCAGCAGCAGCAGCAGGAGGTTGATGGAGACCTAGCCTCTACCTGCGCTAACCGCAGGGATTCGCTGCTGGACTCAGAAGCAACGCAGCAGCAGCAGCAGCAAACGAGAACAGAGCAGCAGCAGCAGCAGCATCTCCCTCGTACAAGAAGTACATTCATCAGCAGCAGCAGCAGCAGCAGCAGCAACACATTCCCTTCTGCAGATACAGCACCACCAACAGCAGCAGCAGCACCAGCAGCAGCAACAGCAGCAGCAGCAGCAGCAGCAGCAGCAGCAGCAGCAGCAGCAGCAGACAGCACTGCTTCATCAGTCCTTAGCCGTTCCACAACCAAACGTGTTCCTTCTCCCGTTTTATCAGATAGTTTTGCTGCTGCTGCAGCAGCAGCAGCAGCAGCAGCAGCACCAGCAGCAGAAGCAGCAGCAGCAGCAGCAGCAGCAGCAGGAGGAGAGGGAGAAGAAGGTAGTGGTTTATATAACAGAACTAGCAGCAACCTGCATGCATCCAACTCCGGGTGTATAGGCAGCTCCCTTCCTGTTTATGTTTTTCTTTGGGGCTTAAATGATTGCGGGCAGCTAATGACGCCAATACAAACAGAAACAGAAACAAAAAATAAAGAAAAAGAAACAGAAAAAGAAAAAGAAAAAGAAAAAGAAAAAGAAATAGAGAGAGAAAGAGAGAGAGAAGGAGAGAGAGAAGGCGAGAGAGAAAGAGAAAGAGAAAGAGAAGAGAAAGAGAGAGAAAAAGAAACAGAAAAAGAGACAGAAAAAGAGAAAGAAAAAGAGGAGAATAACAGCAGCAGCAGCAGCAGCAGCAGCAGCAGCAGCAGCAGCAGGAGCAGCAGCAGCAGCATTCGTGGCGTTCATTGTCTGCCCCCAACGGAGATAAAGAAGTTAAAAAATAAAATAATATATGGTTGTTGTCTTTGTCTGGATAGAACGTGGTTGTGGGGAGAAAGACAAGAGGTGTGGGGTGGGGGAGACAACACCGCGGGGTGTATAGACACCGAAGGAGACAAATATATATATAAACCCAAATGCAACGAATATATTCATTCTGCTGTCTCCTTTGCTGCTAGTAATCATACTATTGCTGTACTACAAACAGGCTGTAAGAATATTTACTGCTGCTGCTGCTGCTGCTGCTGCTGCTGCTGCTGCTGCTGCTGCTGATGCTGCTGCTGCTGGTGGTGC